TCTTCTAAAAAAGGCCTGTACTTCTGGCACTTCTCTGCTGATGTGCTGCTCTAGTTGTTTTTGGTTAGTTTTCAGCAGAGTCTTGCTTGCATGTGATATTAATGATACTGTTCAATAATTTCCACATTCTGTTGGGTCACTTTTATTTGGAATGGGAACAAATATGGATCTCTTCCAGTCAGTTGGCCAGGTGGTTATCCTCCAAATTTCCTGACACATCCAAGTGAGCATGTCCAGGGCAGTGCCTGTTTGTTGAAATATGGCAATTGTATACTGTCGATTTCTGGGGCCTTGTTTTTTGTCAGTTCCATCAAAACATCTTGAACTTACTTCTTCATCACCATAGGCTCTTGATTATATGTTGTTTCATTAAATTTTCTGTGTCAGCCAATTTTTTCTGGTATAGTGACATTGTGTACTTCTTCCCTCTTCTTTTGATAGTTCTTGGGTCATTGTATTGCAACTTGAGCCTTGAATTTGTTTTTTCAGTTTCTTCAGCTTAAGAAATGCTGAATGAGTTTGACCTTTTGATTTTATAACTCCAATTCTTTGCACATTTCACTATAATACTTTCCTTTGTCTTCCTGTACTCCTCTTTGGAATCTTCTGTTCAGCTCCTTAACATCTTCATTTCTTCCCTTCGCTTTGGCTTCTTGGAGCTCTAATGCAATACTCTGAGTCTCTTCTGACATACATCTTGGTCTTTTCTTCTTACTCCATCTTTGCAGTTACCTTTTGCATATTCTCAATATCTTCCTGCAGATTCTCTGGTCTTTGATCGCTGGTTTTCAAAGCCTCAAACCTGTTCCTGAGACGGTCTTTAAATTCAGTCAGGATACCCATAAGGACAAATTTTTGTTCTTGTAGATTGGATTTGATTTTCTTTCATTTTCATTTGTACTTGCATACAAATAGTTGATGATGCAATACACAATCAGCATGTGGCTCGGCTTTCACTGCTGACATCGAGCTTCCCCAATGATTTCCCCCACATATTTAACCAACCTATTTCCTGTGTAGATAATCACATGAGCTTGCTGAACCCCTCCTGCCATCAGACCCATCATGTGGGAAGTGTGTGGACATTACCCTCAGCACGTAAACTTCACCTCCATGCCCCTGCACCAAGAGCACCAATACACAGGGAAATGAAGAGGAAATAGGCGGAAAAGGTGGTGGGAGGCCTTAGCTATCAAATCAAAGGTGAAGGGAGGTGCAGGAAGGCAAGAAGAGGGAATTAAGATGAATGTTGGCAGGGTAGGGTGAGAGAGGGAACACAACTCACGTGCCAAAAGGGCAGGTCCCTGGGACCAATACCTGATCTGTTACAACCTGCATACTCTGATCAGCTCTTTTGGGTAAAATGCCTGTGTGTCAAATATTGCTCTAAAACTGAGCATTCCAATTAAGACAGACTAGGGAGAACTGGCCATCCACTTCCAAAATAACAGGGCACACTTAGGCTGGACTAGTGGATATGGCACCAGAGGCTGAGCCTTCATGTTGGGAATTACAAAGAAGGATGAGCAGTTACAAACAGACCCTAATGATTAGAATGTGGAATGTAAGATGTGTGAATGAAGGACACTGGATATTGTTAAGGAACAAATGGAACACATAAATATATAGGTATATACTAGGTACTGGCAAAATGAAATGGATTGGCACAGGACATTTTGAATCAGATGATCACATGATGTACTAAGCTTGATACGAAAAGGTGGAGGAAAAATGGTGTCCCATTCATAGTTTAAAAGACCATTTCTAAGTCCATCTTGAAATACAATGTTGTGAGTGACAAGCTAATATTCATTCTCATAAAAGAAAGACCTGTTAATACCACTGTCATTCAAATTTATGCACCAATAACCAGAGCCAAAGAACAGAAAATAGATGGCTTCTACCAACTGCTGCAATCAGAAGTTGATCAAACATGCAAAAATCCCTCCTTGCAACAAATATAAAATTCAGGTCATGGTCTTTTAAATGACTTGCTATGCATCTGAAAGTTGAACTTTGAATAAGGATGATAGAAGAAGTGATGCCTTTGAACTGTGACATGGGGGGAAAGTGCTAAATATCCCATAAGAACTGAATAATTCTCATACAACACTGAAATATTTCAGGAAGTACCATATGATCAAGAGCCAATAGTAATGAAGGAAAAAGTACAGCATGTACTGAAGGCTTTTGTAAAAATTAAAGTCCCAGTAATCTATGTGATCGGAAATGATATGTTTCAACTAATAGATGCATCCCTGGACATGGTCACCAGTCTATGCCAGAAAATTTAGACAGCTGACTGGCTGACTGACTAGAGTTGCTCCCATTACCTAGAAAAATAATCCAACAGAATATGGAAATTATCAAACGATATCATTAATATTGCACGCAAGTAAAATATGGCTGAAGATCATACAAAAATGACTACAATAGCACATAGAGAACTTCCAGAAGTTCAAGCTGTGTTTAGAAAAGGCAAACCACAAGGGATATCATTAGTGATGTCAGATGGTTACTGGCTAAAAGCAGAGAATACTAGAAGAAAGTCTATTTATGTTTTATTGACTATGCAAAAGCATTTGACTGTGTGAATTATAACAATCACATTCCGACATTTAATTATACTCATGCAAAAACAGGAAGCTATTGTCTGAAGAGTAAATAAACACTACATAGTTTAAAATTAAGAAAGGTATGCTCTACGATCAAAAGCCTTAACACCAACATTCAGGAAATCAAAAGGCAAACTGCACTGGGAAAATCTACTGTCAGGGACCTTTCCAGTGTATTGAAGAGCAATAATGTTAGTCTAGAGACTAAGGTGCACCTAATCCAGGTCATGGTCTTCACACTTACTTACAATGCATCAGAGAGCTGGACAGTGACTAGGGATGAGAGAAAAAGAATAGATGCCTTTGAGTTGTGGTTCTGGAGAAGAGCCTTGCACATACCATGGACTGTCAAGAAAACAAACAGATCTGTCTTGGAGAGGGTGAAACCAAGTTTGTTCTTAGAGGCTAGCATTTTGAAGCTCTGTCTCACATACTTTGGGCATGTGGCCAGGAGAGACTAGCCCTTGGAGAAGGACATCATGATAGGAAGGGTGGAGGGACAGTGCAGGAGAGGAAAACCCTGGATGAGATGAATTGATACAGTAACTGGGGCAATGGGCAGTGAGAATTAGACGGACTGGCTCATGACAGGGCATGGTTCAGAGCTACTATGTTTGTTCTTGTTGTTATGTGCCGTCGAGTCGCTTGCGACTCATAGCGACCCTATGTACAACAGCCCTAAACTCCGCTCTGTCCTGTGCCAATCTCATTGCCTCCAACACACCCATTCCAATTATCCCAGTCACTGAATCAATCCACCTCATAGAGGGCCTTCCTCTCCTGCGCTGTCCCTCCACCCTCCCAAGCATGATATTCCTCTCCAGGGACCAGTCTCTCCTCACAACATGTCCAAAGTATGTTAGATGGAGCCTCAGAATTTTTGCCTCCAAGGAGCCACCCGGTTCAACCCTTTCCAGGACAAATCTGTTTGTTTTCCTAGGCAGTCCATGGTATTCTCAATACTCTTCTCCAGCACCACAGCTCAAAGGCATCAATTCTCTCAATATGGGTCACAGGCAACTCCATGATACATAACATCAAAAACAATATGGATTCAGTTTTATACTTTCTCCATATCTATTGCTTCTTTAACTAAGCAATTCATTTATGATGCTGGATTTTATGAAAAAGAATGCGGTATCAGAATCAGAGGAACAGAAAACTCATCAATGGCTTGTGTGCAGAGGACAATCTTGCGTGCTGAAAGGACTTGAAATACTTTCTGCAGAAGATTGCGTCTCAAAATCAAGGGGGGAAAATTTCTTACCAGTGGACTTCAAGGCAACATCAAAAAGTTTGAAATTGTCAAAGATTTCATCTTATTGAATCCATAATCAATGTCAGTAGTACAAGCGCACAAGAGATTAGGAGACATCTTGTGCTGGGAAAGTCTGCAGTTAGGGGTTGGGATGGTAACTGACTGCAATATTTTACTTTTGTTCCTATGATCTCTCTTCCAGTACTAGGTTAGTCAAAAGTGAAAACATTTGAAAATACAAGCAAAGAAAAGGAAGTGTGAAGAATGGGATGCTAGCATGTGCCTCTGGTCTCCAAAGGCAGAAAGAAAAGAAATAAAAGCAATAATAGATAAAAAGAAAAAAGCTATCTTAAAAACAAATGTATAACTAACACTGAATGTGCTAGACTTGCTAAAAAGAATATGAATAACTTTATTTCAATTTCACCACAGACTTGAGAAGTCAATGTCTCATCCATTCTCCCTTATAAATAGAGATGAAGGTATAGGGAGGATTTGAACATTAACAAATGATGCTGTTTTCACAATTATTATTACGTGCTTAAACATCTCTGTTAAACCAACCTCCCTATGCAAATTTGGAAGCATTATTTCTAGGACGTGTTCCAGAAGATTAGGAAGCATCTCTGAAAAACAAAGGGATTAAGGTCAAATTAAATTCAATTGTAGTCTACTTCTTCCAATTTGAGCTAAAATAAAAGTTCTGGAAATACATCTCTTAAAAAAACTGCAAAAGCCGTAATGGTGTCTTGATTATCTAAGTGATGTCTTGATTCTCGACTAGAGATAGCAGCAATCAAACCATAGTTCATATTCTACATTCCTCGATAAAGAGTTTAATTTTTGTTGTTTTTCTGTGTAAAGTCTTTTCTCTAACGGATAAGACATGAAAGCCAAAAGCCCAAGATCCGATGATGCTTTGAGGAAAAACAGTCTATGGGTTCCATAGACCTTCTAAAAGCAAAATGGATTCTCAAGCACAAAGTAAAGAAGACCTAAAGGAACCGGCATATCCCCAGAGTTTGCACCCCGACTCCACCCTCCCGGCCATGAGCTGAGTGGAGGAGGAGCCAGGGAATCGAAAGAGGCTTTGGGGCGGTGCTGCAGGCGGAGGGCCTCCCGCGCACATGGAGCTGCGGGCCCTGCCGTGGCTCTGGGTTCTCTGCTGCGGCTGCTGCAATAGTGGCGGTCGCAGCGCGGGCCCTGGAGCCACCTTCACCTGGACCAGGTCACCGAGCAGCGAGAGAGAGGCAATGGCCTTCCGGGTACCGAGCACACACCTCCTTTTCTGTTTCCTTCTCGCCTCTTCCTGTCCCAGGACTGGGTATGGGGTAGAGGGACAGTGAACACTGGCGCGCCTAGTGGTACACCTAGTCATGGTTCTGCAATGTGTCAGCTGTGTGTCTAACCTGGGCTTGGACATGAGAGTCTCATGTGCTAGGGTGTACCTTCCTACATGCCTTTCGCGGCCGAAACATTTGATTTCCCTAGGAACGGGTTGTCACTATCGACTATGTATACAAAACAGCCTGGGTATGTGTGTAGACTATTCAGGATCTGAAGAATTCTTTCTTGAAAGTAGCCCACTGGTTGTACTCACCCCTTCCTAAGAACCAGAAGCCTGGAGCTCTTGGCTTCAGAAGCCTGTGGTTTGTCTTCCACAGAGAGGCGCTGTTAATCTACTTCTGTGATCAGATATCTAAAACAAAGATACCCAATTGGCAACTTCTGAGAATTTTATTTTCCCCCCCCCCCTGAACTAGATCTCCTTAAACTAGTTCACCACTTTAAAAATCTCTCCTGATTTGTGGAGACTGATTTAGAGGGAAATGGAGACTCCTCTTCAAATTATTTGGAGAAAGATCCATGATAACCCGTCGATTTTACTCCAGCATTATAACTCTAAAAAGATCTAGATAGCTGAGTGTAAATATTTCTTTTTTTTTTTTTGGTCTTCTCTGAAATCCAAGAAGCTGCGACAGGGAAGAATTAAGAATTTACACCATTGTGTTCTACATACTATATAGCATTTTTATAACAAAAGATATCATTATTATGGTTTAATTATAAAAGGAAATCTCTTCTAATTATGTACCTATGAAGTTGCACAGGTTTATAATTATCTATTTAAGTTTTACAGCTATATTTATTTATTTGTTTGCTCATTGTTTTTCTACGCATTGTTACCTAACTGAGAAACAAAGATGAAAAGGACATACTTTCAATGTTCATATTTGGGGGTTTTTGCATAAATATCTTTAAATGATCATTTGTAGCTAGCTTCTAGTGCTTCTTTGCTATCTGCCCCCCAATGCAGTATTTCAACAGAAATATATTTAATGCTTCAGGTCTGTTGTTCATAGGGTCACAATGAATTGTACTTGACTCTAAAGCACCTAGGAAAAATACGCTTGATAGAGAAGATTCAGAGATGGATAAGACTTCATTTCCTATGCTCTGAAATCAGAGTAGTACTAATATAGCAAGTTCATGAATCAGATCTTACAAAATATTTCTTTATCATCTGTAGGAAGTAACCCACTGACTTTCACAACTAGAAAAAATATTCTGATTAGTTAATAGACTAAGAACTTTGGAAAGTTAGTATACTTAGTGGGTGTGAATGAGCTTTATTTGTGTTTTGGTTTTTTGTTTGTTTTCAGGAAAGTCTTAATCGACACCAGTATCTGAATTCAGTATTTTCTAATGAAAACTCAACTGCCTTTTATGGGATAAATAAATTTTCTTATTTGTTTCCTGAAGAATTTAAAGGTATGGTAAACTTATTTGATTAATTTATTCATTACCTGATTTTAAATAGCATGTAACTTTCTAGTTGTTGTTATTAGATGCCATTGAGTCAATTATTACTCATAGTGACCCTATGAACAACAGATCAAAACTTTACCCTATCCTGTGCCATTCTCACCATCTCTGACATGCCCACTGTTACAGCCACTGTTTCAATCTTGGGAGCCTTCCTCTCCTTCTCTGCCCACGCCCCCTTCACAGCATAATGCCCTTTTCCATGCCCAATGTAACAAAGCCTCACTACCTTTGCCTCTAAGTAGCACTCAGGTTGCATTTACTCCAGTACAGATCTATTTGTTGTCTTAGCAGTCCATGGGATATTCAGTACTCTTCTCCAACACCACAACTCTAAAGGATTGTTAAATCATTATTGTAGTAGCTTGAGAAAGAGTTAACTTTTATTAAATATTAGTGAACTAAGTACAAAGTAAGTACCAGGTGCTGAGAATTAAAAAAATAAACTCAAGGGTAACCCTCAAACAATATAATTGCTGTCATGTTGATTCTGACTCATAGCAACCCAATTCCATGGGTTTCAGGATAGAACAGCATTACATGGAAGGCAGCGGTTTTGATCATTCAGAAGCAGATTTGCAGGCTTTTTTTCTGCTTCTTTTTGTTGTTAGGTGCTGTCAAGTCAAGTACGACTCATGATGAGCCTGTGAACAGGCAACCTGAAACTCACACTATCCTGTGCCCTCCTAATCGTCTCTGAGACACTAGAGCCCACTGCTGAAGTTACATTGCCAGTACATCTCATTAGGGGTCTTCCTCTTCTTCACTGCTTTCCAAGCTTTCTGTCACTCCTCTTCTTCATGTTTTCCAACATGATGTCCCTTTCCAAGGAATAAGTGCTCAGCTATTCATTCCATTGCAAAACAATTTAATTATACACATTTCCATGTGACTGTAAGGGGTAATGTGACTTTAAGTGGTATGTCTTTTTACTCCTGTGGTTTTCCAGTGTTTGTCCTCTTCCATTATCTGCTCTGTGACAAAGATAAGCAGTCTTTTGCCATAAAATTTGCAATCTCTGAAACCCTGTCAGATGGTCAGCTATGAATTGGTTCCAACTCCATGGCAAACAGCAACAACACAAGTTCTGTTCAAGACACCCATTGTTCTGTAGGTTAATGGAGAAATGTATGAAGTCAGTTATATTCATTTTTATTATTTGCCTGATGTTACCAGCTAAGTCATTCTGTATTACCTCCAGCCCTATCCTCAGAATTCTTGTCTTTTCTTTTTCTGCTATATATATTTCCTGAAATGGGATAATACAAAGAAAATTCTAAAGTGGCATGTCTCTTCTTGAAAAGTTTCTATAAAATGTTTATTCCTGAAGAATTTTGAAAAATTATATCCTAAGAACTTGTCCCCATAATATAATGTCAGTTTTCTTTTCATTTCCTGTTTCTTTTCAGCAGTTTACTTGAGGAGCAAATCTTCCATATATCCCAAATACTCAGGAGACTTACACACTTCAGTTTTCAACATATCCTTGCCAATAAGATTTGACTGGAGAGACAAACACGTTGTAACACAAGTGAGAAACCAGCAGATGGTAAGTTTCAGATTCTTTTATTTTTTTTAGCCATTTTATCATTGGAAAGCATAGTTGAGATCACATTTAGTTTAACTTGTAATTGGACCCATCTGTCTGTGTCTGTAGAGAGACTGAAACATCATTCATCCAGAAATGGCAATGAGAGGAGAATCTCTGGTCAGATAAGGCAGACATGAAAGCTTGAATTTCTTGTCTGATGAGTGTTTGTACATTCTCATATTAATAACCATTACCATGCACACACGTACTCAAGAATCCTTTTCTGTGGCCATGTCATAAAAGGCATATATGCAAAACATACAGCAGTAGATAGAAGGCTGGAGAACTTAAATATGGATAATGTTGTTATGTGTCATCAAGTCGCTAGTGACTCACAGGAACCCTATGTACAATAGCCCTGAAAACCGCTTTATACTGAGCCAACATTATTGTCTCTGACACACCTACCCTCTTTACCCCAGTCACTGAATCTATCCATCTCATTGAGGGTCTTCCTTTCTTGCACTGTCCTTCCATCATTCCAAGCATGATGTCCCTCTCCAAGGACTGGTCCCTTCTTGCAGCATGCCCAAAGAATGTCAGACGAAGCCTCAGAATTCTTGCCGCCAAGGAGCAGCCTGGTTTCACCCTCTCCAAGACAAACAACTTTGTTGTCCTGAAAGTCCATGGTATTAAAGCATCAATTCTCTTTCTGTCATGCCTAGTTATTGTCCAGCTTTCTGACGTATAGCAAATAATTGTGAAGACTATGGCCTGGATCAGGCGCACCTTAGTCTCCACACTGACATCGTTGCTCTTGAGTACTCTGGAGAGGTCTCTGACAGTAAACTTTCCCAATTCAATTCATCCTTTGATTTCCTGGTGGCAGGTACCCAGAGAGTGGATTGTGGAACCAAACTGACCAAAGCTGTTAAAAATCTCAATCTCTTCACCATCTATCATAATGTCAGTCATCCCAGTGGTGAGAATCTTTGTTTTCTTGATGTTCCTTTGAATCCACATTGACTGCTATAGTCCTTGACCTTATGCAGCAAGCACTTCAGGTCCCCCTCAGTTTCAGCAAACAGGGTTTTGTCATCTGCATAACACAGGTTGTTGATGAGTCTTCCTCCAATCCTGATAGTACATTCCTTCTCATAGAGCCCAGCCTCCCAGATAATCTGTTCTGCATATACATTGAAAAAGTATGGAGGAAGTGTATATCCCTGGTGTACACCCTTCCCAATTTTGAACCATGCCATGTTTCCTTGCTCAGTTCTGATGACTGTCTCCTGGTATAGGTTTCGCATAAGCACAATCAAATGTTCTGGAATTCCCATTCTTAAGAGTTAGCCACAGTTTGTTGTGATCCAAACAGTCAAATGCCTTTGCGAAGTCATTGAAACATAGATAAATATCCCCCGATACTCTCTGCTGACAGCCAGGATCCATCTAACATTAGCTATAATATCCCTGGTACCACGCCTCTTCTAAACCCAGTCTACACATCTTTTAGTTCTCTGTTGATGTGCTGTTACATTAATTTTTGGATCATTTTCAGCAGAATCTTGCTTGCATATGGTATTAATAATATTTTCCCATATTTTTGCATTTTGTTGGGTCATCTTTCTTTGCAATGGGAACAAATATGGATCTATTCCAGTAAGTTGGCAAGGTGGTTATCCTCTAGATTTCTTGACACAATGTGGTGAGCGCATCTAGGGCAGCGTCTGCTTATTAAAATATGTCAGTTGGTATGCTATCAATTCCTGGGGCGTTGTTTTTTGCCAATTCTTTCAGAACAGCTTGAACTTCTTTCTTCATCACCACAAGCTCTTGCTTCTGTATTGTTTTATGAAATTCGTCTGTGTCAGCCAATTCCTTTTGGTACAGTGACTCTGTATATTCCTTCCATTTTCTTTTAATGCTTCCTGGATCTTTTAATAGTCTGCCCAAAGCATCCTTAAGTATTGCAACTCGAGGCTTGAATTTGTCCTTCAGTTCCTTCAGTTTAAGAAATGCCAAAAAAAATAAGGGGAGCTCTGGTGGCCTAGTGGCAAGAAACTGCAACTACAATCCCAGAGGTGCACGGTTCGAATCCACCAGATGCTCTGTCGGGGAAGGAGGGGCAATCTTCTCCTGTACCAGTCAGATCTGATTTGACGGTACACGCACACAAAAATAATAAAATCAAATAAAAAAATTAAAAAAAAGACATGCCAAAAAAAATTAAAAAATTTAAAAAAAAAAAGAAATGCCGAGCGAGTTCCACCCTTTTGATATTCTGACTCTAGCTCTGCATATTTCATAAATTCTGTCTTTGGCTTAATATTACTAGTTTTCTGCTGTTGTTAGGTACCATCAAGTCAAGTATGACTCACTGATGTTGTGAACAACAGACCTGAACCCTGCCTTGCCTATACTAGCCTCATCATTTCTGAGACATCTGAGCCCATTCATTGATGCAGTCATTGTTTCAATCTATCTGGTTGAGAGTCTTCTCTTTCACTGACCTTCCATCTTTTCAAGTATGATGTCCATTTCCAGGGAATACTCTGTCTTACCAACATGCCCAGAGTTTGTGAGATGAAGCTTTGTCTTCTTTGCCTCCAGGAACTATTCTGGCTTCATTTTCTGTAAGACATACTGTTGTTTTAGCAGTTCGTGGATGTAAAAAGAGCAAGGGTGTTATAGGGATGGCCATATCTATTCTTTACCAGCTCCACAAAGGAAAATGTCCCTGTCAACAACATCAACAACTCAAAACCAATTCTCATGAGGTCAGACATGTTACCATGCTTCTGCACCTCTTTCAACCCCTCCCAATGCCAATCTTACTGCTTTACTGGGTCAAAAATCTATTGTGATAGCTCACAGACCACGCAGTACCATGTCAGGTCCTCTCTATCTTCTGTCAGGTATCTGCAGCTGCTTTGGCTGTTGCTCTCACAAATTCTTGTCTGGTTGGTGCAAGAATATCTAGCCTCAAAGGAAGTGCGGTCTTCTCTTGCTGCTTCTTTGCTGGTGGTAGTAAGAGTCTCAAAATCTCTTGCTGAATCTCAATTTAGTGGAGAAAGATTAATAGGTGAATAGTCTCCTCCCCTGAAAAGTCAACTATGGCTTGGTTCTGAACTGATGACAGTGAGTTTGAGTTTTCCATGTGATTAGCCATATAACTGTCTTCCAGATTTTTAAAATTAATAATTGAGCATCTTCATTTATTTCTTGAAATGTTTCCGTTAGTATTTCATGAATTTTTAATGTCTCAATTTTTGCCAATGTCTTCTCTCTAGCTTGGATTTCTTCCAATGAGCACTGGTTCAACAGCAAGACTTTCTGTTTGGTACAGTGACTCTCTGTATCTTTGTATCCTTCCATCAACTTTTGATGCTTCTGATGTCATTCAACTATTTGTCTGTAAAATATTTCACTACTCCAATATAAAGCTTGAATATTTTCTTTCGTTATTTCAGCTTAAGAAACTCTGAACTTAAGAAATATTTATTCCTGTATGTTGTCCGTAGATGTGGTTGATTTGATTCCCATATACTCTGTCTATGTATATAATCTTCATTTTTGTTATTGAAAAACGTTACTTGCAATGAATAAGTGATGTATCATACAAAATTCTGTCATATAATCTCTGGTGCAGTGTCTGTCACAAGGCGTATTTTAAACCACTGATTCCTGTTCTTTGTTTCCAGAATTGATATTCCAATCACTAGTAATCATCTCTGTGTAGTGGTTGCATTTGCCATCAATTTCAGACTGAAGAATTGGGTACAAATTGATATTCAAAGGAAGCATTTGGTTTTCTTATTTCAAGAAAATGGATGTATATGCTTTGTGAACTTTACTTGATTTGTTGCACCTTCTATTTAGAGGTTGTGATAGTTTTGTTGTTATTAGGTGCTGTCGAGTCAACTATGACTCATGGTGACTCTTTGCTCAAGAGACCTTAACCTTGTCCTTTCCTGCACCATTCTCACTAACTCCCACATGCACAAGCCCATGGATGCAGACTCTGTGTCAGTCCATCTCTTTGAAGATCATCCTTTCTTTTGCTAATCCTCTTCCTTCCACAGAATGATACTGGGGAAGTCCTGGCCACTCCTGCTAACATGCCCCAAAATGAAACTTCTCCAATCTTGCCTCCAACAAGCACTTCCTCCAAAACAGATTTTTTTCTTCTTTTGAAAGTCCATGGTATATTCACTACTCTTTTCCAACACTATAAAATACCTCTGTTTCTTTTGATTTAAACACTGTTTGGTAGTAAGTTTCCCTCTGCTCTTGTATTTTTAAACAGTGTGGAGGATGCTGGGCATTCAGTGTGGTAGGTGCAGTGGAATCCGCAAATGCAATCAAAGGCAAGCCTTTGGAAGACCTCAGTGTGCAAGAAGTCATCGATTGTTCATACACCAACTATGGCTGCAATGGGGGGTCTACACTCAGTGCTCTGCACTGGCTAAATAAGGTTAGTAAAATCCATTTTACTTTTTTTTTATATGGTCAGAATTTAAATAATTTATTCTTATGTATTAATGTTGTCTGGTTCAGAAGTTTTAATAAGAAAATTTAAACTCATTAATCAGAATTTTTTTTTCTAGGCAAATGAAATACTGT